CTAACCTAACCTATTTTTTAAAGCGATGTGTCCCGATAACCCACAAGTACCAGAAAGTCAAACCAGTTCAATTTACGTAGCTTAGTGGCATTTAAATAGACCAGCAGAGAGCCCTAGTGGTATTTAAAAGGGACCACAAAAGGTTAATATATCTTGTGTTAAGTCACCATAAAAGTCTGTAAGTATAGATTTTCATTCAAACATATTCTTACACCTACGGCGTGAATAATTAATTTTCGAATTTTGCCGTGGTATTTGAGAATTTGACAAATTTGGGGTGCAACTAAGCTGAGGTGGAAGATGGGCCCAACCGATATTTTATATGGGTAAAATTCTGACTAATAGCTTTTAAACTAATCCCTGTAGATAATGCTGTACATGAAAATGTTCTTGAACTTAGGGGTTATGATATTCAACGATACGTATCGAATTTTTAGGCAAGAAATGATGATACATTAAGCAAGTGTCGAATTTCCCCGCAGTAACACTGAAGGCAGTTTTGTTGGTGTTGAAATAATATGCTTGGACACGCCCACCGAATGGAAGACGGCAGGCAGTCTGCCAAAACAGTAGAACGCCGTTGAACAAGACGACGACATTGTGGATAGTAGAAGACGTGAGGCCGAAACGGGACTTCCTGGTGATCTGAGTTCATGATTTGGTGGTGATGATTGTGCTAACGATGGTTACTGTGTATAAATGATGGGCCACGCTCTATGAAATCGCGTCTGGCTCGATGGCTTGTCGATTATTTTGTTGGATAAATGCGGGATCCGCCCCTCACACAGTGTTATGTTTCTGTAGGGTTCTATAGCCACGGCACTTGGATTTGTTGTTCTGTTATCCTGGGGCTTTCGTCGTGTATTAGACTGGATATAACCCAGAGCTTTCTGATTCACAAGAATATGTGAAGCGATTAATTTAGCCACATTAACAAGCTGCTGATTGTGTTAAAACAGAAAAATTACGAACTTCACGTGTGAGTGAAGTTCTATACTATAGTCGGCGCAGTGGTTTTTGGCCGGTGGAATTTTCAAGGGAAAGGCTAGGAGCGAGTCTCGGACTGAACGCCCAAACAAAAGAAATGCACTGACCGTGCCACCTCAGGTACACAGAGTAGGCCCGTCCGCCAGCTCCTCCACCGGCCAAAAACTACTGCGCCGACTATAGCTGCAGTGTAAAATTGTTTCTAGTAAACGGTTTAATTTCAAAGTCCTTCATATTCTTGCAGTTGCCCGAGAGTTTAATTTCCGGAAGCATGTATAAATTCAGGTTTTATCAGTATGCTTACCTTCGAAACTTGGGCCAGTAATATGCCATAAATGTCATGACAGAATGTCGATATCGGCCTAATTAAGGTTGACTTGTTTTGAACAGTTTTTTTTTTATTTTGAAACTTTTGCTATTTGAGACTTCCGTTCCATTCACAGAATGCTAATTTTCAACAGCTGTTGGGCACAGCAGTTCGTGTATAGTTATAGTTAAGATTAAAATATGTTATTATTATACACGTTAGTTTGTGTTCCCAGTTTGTATTTGCGTTCACAGGCGTAAAAGTTATCAGTAATTACGCTGGTTGGTAAAATGTTCATTTCGGAAGTACTTCTACCATTAGCCTGCTTTTAGAACTGCTTCTAATATGGGAGACGAAATTTTTTGAAATGACAGGCATGGGAAAGGAATATGGA